GCGGTGCGCGCGGCACTGATTTGTCATTTTCTCAGCTTCTCAATTAAGATGGATAATTTTCAACCAAATAAGCTGAGTAAATGTTCAGTCAAAATCCCATACGGTTTTAAACCATACAACGCTTAATGTTACGTACCATAGAGTTTTATTTGATTTATTAAATATTATACGGGCCAAGCCCATAATATATCGAACACAGCCAAGTCCCAAATCTATGTATCAATGAAGAGATCACTCCAGAACAAATAAAAACCGGATTAAAGAAAGAGGGCAAATCAAATAAATCACTGAAAAATGAAGACATAATCGTTTGGTCACCCGCTGACCTGCAATATGTGCCATTGTCTCCACGAGGAGCACAAAATATGAGGAACATGAAGTAAAGGACAAAAATACGGTTCTCACCAAAAAACAGGAAATCGTTTCCCGGATGTTGAATTGCTTCCTGATTCTTCCAGTAAACCGGAAACTTTCTGAATACTATATCTGAAAATGGTTTATCCCAAGAAATACTTGCTAGAATGTTGAATTGCTTCCTGATTCTTCTCCCGAAGTAACCAGTATAGATCGGTATCAAGAGGATGGAGCCAATTCCCATATATAAATATATATGATGCCTTGTTACAGAAAAGGCTATTAGGCTGATCAGGACAGCAGCTAACAGAATGCAGTAAACCATTCCCTGAAAGATATTTCGTCTAGCATCAGCAGGGTGAATAAGAGTAAGACATTAAAATTAACAATATAAGAGGGAGCTACAATCAAATAAACTTCTAACAAACAAAGGAAACTTAAAATCAATGGCAACAAGATTGTCACAACACCACAACTATGGATGTATATAGCTGTAGCACCCGGTTTTAAGAACAAAACCAGATACACATCATATGTGAGCCCAGAAAATCAAATCTCACATATAGCTACAAATAAGGGTAATATCAAAAGACAATGCTTAAATACATAGCGTATTAGTATAAAGAATATAACCTCAGAGTATAGACAGCGGAAAGACAACTCCAATCTTCAGGCAAAAACTCTAAATCTACAGGGACAACTGACTGGTTGATCACAAGCCTAATTCCTCCAAACTCTAGCAATCTGGTACCCATCCGGGATTTTTTCAAATATGTGTAAAATAAAGCAAGCGTAAGTACATGTCGTACTCAATAAATATAACATGGGGTTCATGAGGCTCAAAAGGCTGACACTGGTTTAACTGTGATTAGCTTTTAATGAGTCATCTTTTAGCAATTGGGTGGCAACAAGTTTATCACAAGCCCATAAACACATGATCAGGTAAACATGAATAATGAATAGCATAAACAGTAATCATTAATGAGCATCTTTATCATTAGTATCATTAGTGTTCATCATCTATTCCGTAAGGGTTCCAAGGCCGCTCGTGACTGTGAGCACGGCTGATATACCAGTTTTACACTCAGCAGAGGTTGTACACTTTCACTGTGAGTCGTGATTTACCCTTTCACCCGAGGTGATCAGCCTCTTGACCCACTACCAAGGAAGGTCGGCAGGGTTCACTATGAAGCCTTTCAAAGGTTTGTCTAACAAGTTATGGCCATTAGATTCACTCGGCAAACAGATATAGGAAACCCCCCTGTCGAATGGCATAATTCCATCACGGCTATACACATAAGAGTAGAGGCTGTCCTATACCCGATTCGGCAAGCCATTCTTACGCCAATAAAGGTAACCACTAACAAGCTAGAAAAGGTCCTCATACTGAGCTAAAGCCAGAGCCATATAGCCCTCACAGTTGTACTGTAAGTCCCGGATGATCACTTACAGATAAGTCCTTAGGGGGAGGAATCTAGAGCACCATAAAATAGCCCAATGCTCTAGCCCCCTGGTTCTATGTTGCTAAAAAGCATCTTTTAATGTTTATTGCATATACCATTAGTCAAGTTACAAGATCATAGTTGTAGTGGAGCACTAGCATCAAACTACCCAATGCAATACCCCATAGGTATCAAGGTACAAGATATCAAATATCTAGAATATCCTTATTAGCAACAAGGTAGACACATGCAATATGAATTAAGTGATTAAAGGTGAATATGTAACAAGGATGGTCCCATGCTATACTTGCCTTAAAACACCGATCCTTCGGTAAGCTTTAATCTTCAACGTTCTTCTTCTTCTCCTTGATCACCACGTACATCTCACCGACTGGACGTAATCATAAAGCACCACACAAGCATCCATACAACCATATACGAAGCAAACAATAGATCTAAATTAGAACAGTACACCAATTATAGAAAAATAACTAAAAGAGTTTTAAACACGATTCTACGCATCGCTACAAACACACAGTCACGAGAAGCACGCTAATCGGAGCTACGGTTAAAAAGATACAACTACCGAAAGATTTGCTCCATACATGGAAAAGAAAACTATAGGCTTCATTTATTTTAACTATATAAAAACAATACTTTATAAGTATTATAAATTGAATTAAGTCAAATTCAGATTTGATTTATAAAACTAAAATCAAACAAGTCATATTTTATTTATAAAATCCAGTTGCATAATTATTATTTAAGATATGATTCAAACCATGAAATTCCAGTATTAGTGACATGATAAACACTGTTACTAACGCGTAGATCTCGTCACTATGAATCTAACACAACTTGAATGGACTAAAACGGAGTTAAAACGTAAAAGATATGATTTAAACAAGATTTCCTTTAATAAAATAATAGATTAAATCCAACCTTGAATTTTAAAAGTTGAAAACCTACTTAACAGTAGTATGAACATGTAGATTATGAAATTACGAACCTAACGCAAGTTCAACGGGTCAAATCGGAGTTAAAACGAAAAAGTTATAGCTAAAACAAAATTAGTGACAAATCGGTAAATAAGTAAAAACGTATTTTAAATCTAAACCGACGAAACTACGCTTTCCAAAAAAGAAAACGGAGTCAGGGAAAACGTTTTGGACTGTGGGTTCAATTATTGAAAAGCGCGGGGACTCTTTAGCAAAATGGCCACGCGAAGGGGTATCCACCGATTGAGGCCGTTAGATCAGATTTGGACGGCCAAGATGTAGTTGGACGGGTGAGATCGGCCGGCGGCGAGGTAAGTGGCGGTGGCGCCATGGCTGGACTTAAGAAGCTCGCCGGCGATGTGAGTTAAGGGCCTACGGTCCATGGCGGTACAAACCGAATACATGGGAAGGAGGGGCGACGGCGAACTCACCAAGGCCAAGTATGACGGCGTGGAGCGGATGACGATGGTGCTTCGCTCGGCGGGCGACGGCGACTCAGTGGCGCTAGGGTGCGGCGTGCGGCTGCGGTGCTCGGGCGATGCAGCGGCTCGCTAACGGATTAGGCGAGGGCAGCGGGGTGCGGGCGGCTTATATGGGGCGGAGCGGCGTGGAGAGGACCGAGGTAGTTTAGCGGCGTCAAGCTTCATGCGGCGGGATCCGTCGACGGTGCAAGGCTGGCTCGGCCAAGGGCGGTGCGAGATGGGGCTCAGGGTAGGCGGCACGGCGCAGAGGCTTGCTACTTATGGGGCTGGCGCGGCTTGGACAGCAAGGCAACGAGCTCGGAAGGCAGCGTGGGCGGGACGGACATGGCCTCCTTCGGCGGAGCAGAGTCCGTTGCAGGGACGGCTCAAGGTGGGAGACGCGACTGACCGGTGGGCCAGACACGTCAACGGGAGAGGGCGGGGCTCGGCTGCACGGCCTTGCTGGGCCGCTGAATGGGCCGCTGCGGAAAATTAGGAGGCCGCGCGAGTGAGCTGCCATGCAGGTAAGCCAGCCGAGCTGGGCTGCGGTGGAAGCGGGCTTGCGGAGGGGAAAGAGCGGGCCGGTGCTGAGCAGAGAAAAAGAAAAGTTGGGTCTCGGGCCAGATCGAGAGAAGAGGAAATTTTTCATTTTCCAAATCTTTTCCATTTTGTTTCCAAATTCAAATCCAAATGCAAACCAAATCAAATTCGAATATGATTTGAAATACACTTTTTAATTCAAATAAAATTGAGAAATTTTGGTAAGTTCTCCAAAAATAAATTTTACACCTTTTTAAATTCTTTTATTTTCAAATTTTCTTTTCTTTTACTTCAAAGTCATTTTTAATTTCATTTGCAAAAGCAATTTAAACCATTTGAAGTTTTCAATCAAAACCACTCAAACCAAATAAACCAAATGCAAGGGCATGTATGCTCAAACATGTTGCTAAACCTTATGATGAATTTTAATTTAATGAAAATTTTTATTTTCCTATATTTTCATGAGCACTAAATCATTTTAGCTCTATTTCCAAAAATTCAAATTTTGGGGTGTTACAATAGCAGACATAGAGGTTAGAGCCATCCAGTTTAGGCGAGAATCATCAGCACCCTTAGTATATATGAAAGGAGATATGTTTAAGAAGAGTATAATCTCCTTTCATCACTTTGTTAAGGATAACAAACTGACCATACAATTCAATATAGTATTGCATATAATTGATGCTGAGTAAGATGAGATGAGAAACTCCAACAACACTTTTGCGAAAGAAGCACTGACTCAGATAAAGATAAAATCAAGTTGGTATTTCAAGCCTGACACAGTGGTTAAAATGAGTAAAAATATAGTGGCACCAATCTGTGAAGCAAGTCCAACATGCAGTCAGATTCCCTCCAACATAGAATATTTAGAATAACAGGCGCACATTTTACTGGACCATACACTCTATGCTGTGTCAAACAAAAAAAGACAGGCCATTAAGCTAGACCAGGTCTAAGACACGGCATAGGAATAAGGGATTATCCAAAATGCTGTTCACATTGCGAAGTCAATTCAAACAAGCCACACATCAGGCACTACATGGTATAAGCACAAGGCCGAGAAAATGGCAGCTTTCCAATGCTTAACACCTAGGGTGTTACACAATCTCCTTGTTCAACGTGAATTTTGACTCGAAGACACAACAAATGGTAGATGTTAATTTGCTCTTCTTGCTGCCAATGCAAGGTTGCTTCACCCATAAACATTATATCCTGCTTGGCAACCACAAGTCAACACCAGGATGGTGCGTGTGAAACAGGCTCTTCAATGAAGAGAATGAAGCTTTGTCGGCAAGGTTGCGATGACAGTACAGAAATATCCTTTCGATGCCAGCAGGTAAGTGGTTGATGCCAGCAGGTTCCAACCAATTGAAAACCTCTTCCCATCCCGCCACAGTCAACCGCAGCTCAAGGTTCTGGAGCCTGGGCAGAGCCCCTGCTTCAAAGGCTAGAAGTGGTGTAGGACAGCAAAACTTGAGGTGCTTGAGGGCTGGAAATGCCACAACAGTGCCGAATGTGCTGGGGATGACAACTGTTTCCTCTGGTTCTTCTTTGATCACCAACCAGAGGTGTACAAGGGAGGGCAATGCTGCAAGAATACCAATGCCATCATCCTTGGGCACCACCTCTCGTACCACAAGCTCTAAGTTGTAGAGGTCATGGAGCTGAGCTATCCACTTGGGGATCCTGGGAAACCAGAGACCCCAAAGATGGAGCTGTTGAATATGGCGCGGGAAACCAGACAATTTGCCGAGCCAATCAAAGTAACGTATATGACTGTTGATAACAAAGCTCTTGAGGTTGCTGCAGTGGGGAAGTCCTTCAAGCAAAGTGTGCAAGGCCTCCATGGTCATGTCATCCATGTCTAAACGATCATAGTAGAGTTGAAGATCTCTTAAGTTGGTCAGCTTGTCAAGAGACTTAAAACTTTCCAGCGAGCTTCTTGAGAAATCAAACTCCTGCAGGGTACGCAGGAATTTCAAGCTGCCAATCCCATCCTGAAAAACCATACCACCTGGAACAATCAAATGTAATAACCGGCACAAGCGAACAATATCTGATGGAATATATAATTTCATTGGGCTCTCGAGAACCATAGTATCCAAATACTGTAGACCCCAAAATTGATTAGGAAGCTCTAAGTCGCCATCAGTTACAATCTTTAAATATCTCAGTAGAAATAATCCACAAATACTGGTAAGGTCCATTTTGTGTGTCCGAGCTTCCTTAAATTCAACTAACAGAACTCGGAGATACTTGCACTCCTGAAATGATGGTAGCAAAACCCTTGTGAAAGCCACCACAGATCGAACCTGACAGAGTGATCCATTTAATGTTGTTAGTGCCACATGATGCCCCGCACCATTGTATTGGATGGAGGCTCGACAGACCTTGTGTGATAACATTGTGGCCTGAGGATCATCTATTATATCAAAGAAGTTCTCTTCTGCAGACTTGACTCTGATTAGATCAAGCATTATATCATGTACTTTGCAGGACAGCACCTCACCGTTGTAGTCTGTGTTCACAGGTTGAATCATGCTCATATTCATTAACTCATTGAAGTAGCTTCCAGCAACAACATCTTCGTCTAGCCCATGGATTCTACTCACGAAGCCTTCGGCTATCCATTGCCTCACCAAATCATCCTTATTAATGATAGAGTCCTCTGGATACATACCAAGATATAACAAGCATGTCTTAAGATGGTGAGGAAGATTTCTGTAGCTAAGGTCCAGTATGTGCTTCATGTCTTCTAGACAAGGATTCCCTTCGAACATGGAGCCCAGAGAACTCCATACATACTCCCATGCCATCTTAGATTGACCAGCTAGAAGGCTAGCTATACTGATAATGGCGAGTGGCAAACCACCACATCTTTTTAGAATATCAGCTGAAAACTCTTCAAATACGTCAAGGCAAGCATCACTGGAGCCAAATATTCTACTAAAAAATAGTTTTCTTGAGTCATGTTCACCAAGTGGCCTCATGTTATAAACATAATGTTGGCTATAACAGCAACAGGCAAAAGCAATAGAATAAATCCTTGTAGTTGTCAGTACTCTACTACCACAATTATTTGCTGGGAAAGCACATTTGATAACTTTCCAGGCTGAGGAATCCCATAAATCATCAATCACAATAAAATACCTGTTAAAAATAGCAGGAGTTATAAGATGAATTCAGGAAATAGTGAAGCCCCCTTAGAAAAGATCTTCCCATATCTATTTGAAGAAATATAAGATTATATATTATTTGGAGTTATATAAGTTGAGGTTGAAAATTAAACCACCCTGATAGTTGTGGGACGAAAAATGACACTGAATCTTTAAAATACATAATTTTAAGTACAAACCTTTTATTATATACAATTTAATTTATACTCTCAGAATAAGTAGCAAATTTGGCATCAATGCACTCTAGATTTCCACGGGTGTTGAACACTGTAGGCACATTCCATTGCTAATGGAACACTTGCATTTCTTTGGCATTATGCAGCTGCTCACTACCAATATTTATGTGAAATCTACAATGACCATCATTACAAGGAGAACAAAGAAAAAGGCAGCATGAAAAAACTTAAGACGAATTAGAGGGACTTATAAAAGGCTAGTGCTACAAAGTTAAGCTGAAAGAGGAGATCATACAATTCCATTTGTTATTTTTACTTAGTAATGATTATTATAATAAGTTTATTTATATAAAAGGCTCGAAAAAGATAACATCAATCTAAGTAATAGCATTTGTTACTAGTATATGAGATACTAAGTATCCAATATTATACTAGCGAACTAAAAATATATTTGGTCAGCATGAAACAGTTCATTTGCTGCGTAGAGCAAATATTTTATGACAGTGCTAAAACAAAGGTGCCTCGTGCCATGCATAAAACAAATTAATACCTTTTATCCTGCAGTTGTTCTGTGATCTTCTTGAGAACGTCATCCAACTCGCTGGTGTGAGAGACACAGCCACCAATTTGTATTAGCATTTTATTGAGAAGCTTCGGTATGTCAGGTTTTTGAGACACTGTTACGAATGCACGGCACTCAAAATTCTCTTCAAGCTTGCGGTAAACTTGATTAGCAAGTGTGGTTTTGCCCAGGCCTCCAAATCCAACAATAGAAGCCACCGTCAACTCTTGTTCTTGGCCCATGAGTAGTGCAGTAAGCTCAACAGTTGGGATATCCATACCCACAAGGCCAGCAGCCTCCGCATAGATTGACAATACACGTGGATCAACAGGAACATAACTAGGCTTGGAGGTGTAGTCATCAAGCTTGTACCTCATTCGTCGTTTGCTTACCTCTTCCACACGAATCTTGATCTCCTGGATCTTGCTGGCAATCTGATGGCGCACTCTCAACTTCTTTAGAAGCCTAGCAGTCTTCTTCACCAACCCTTTAGTTGCATCATTCTTTTCGAAGTGGTGTGTGAAGTCATCAATGCAGTCTTCAATGTCATACGACATATTTCTCACCTGGTTCCTCCACTCCTTGGCTGGAGCATCGAGGTCATCCATATCTGCCAACTTCTCAAGAAGGGCCTTCATGCTTCTGAATTCTTCCTCCATAGACTTCATCTCCTTCCGGACCCCTTTGAGCTTGCCATACTCCTCACCCATCAGTGCGGTGAGTTTACCAAGGAGGGAGTTCATAGCACCAGTGGAAGCGCTCACCATGGTTCCAGACATCTCTTCCCCTGTTCGTTCTATGCTCGATTTTCCTCCCTTGGCTAGCTCGCCTAATGGTTGGAGAACCTTTCCTTTTTATTAAGAACACAAGTTAATTAACTTGGATCCTTTCCCCGAATCCACATACTCCCTTTGCAGCAGCAAGAGGACACAATCCATTTTCCTTTCGAATCATGGGGTTCTGTCCGCCGGAATAAAGATTCAATTCAGATTAAAAATTAAAGTAGTTAGGTTGCAGAAGATGTACATAGCAACTACAGAGATGAAGTGGAAAAGCAAAATTCCTTCGAAGATCAAATTTTCTTTTTGTGGCAAGTCTTCAATAATAAACTGCGGGTGGCTACTTCTCTAGTGAAAAGGGGTTGGAAAGAGGACAGTCATTGCTGCTTATGCGGAAAATTAGAGACTATTGACCATCTCTTGTTCAAATGCCATCTAGCTAAGCTTGTTTGGGGTCTGGTACTGGAGGTCTTCAGTTTAGATGCTTGTCCATCTTCTTTGGGGGAATTCTTGAAATCTCGAGTACTTGGTTACAAGGCAAGGGGCCTCTGCCGAGTAGATTGATCATTTTCTTTTTTGCAGGTTTTGCTTGGGCATTATGGACGACAAGGAATAAGATGGCTACAGAGAAATATTTTCCTAAAGCTCCAACTAATGTGTTATATGTTGCCATATCGTTGATGCAGTGATGGAGCGTGTTGTTGAAGGAGAAGGATTTTTGGGATGGCTGAAGAACTTTAGGCCTAGTATGATTATGATTTCTGATGTGTGTGAGGTATGATGTTCTGCTCTGTTGTGGCGTGGTGTTATAACTGTGGCTGGTAACCGCAGCGAATTCTGTGTACTTGTTGCTTTCTTAAAAGCAGAGTTAAATCTCGTTTAAAAAAAACTACAGGAGATGAAGGTAAAAATGTCAAACAGGAGAAAAAAATTAGTGAGGCTGCTAGACTTTTGACCAAAAAAAGAACGAGAATGCTACTCAGTCAATGTCAAACAGGGGGGGAAAATTAGTGAGACTGCTAGACTTTTGGCTTCTCCTCGAGCATTTGGTCCAACAACTCGTAGGCAGAAAAACGCTGAAACAACGGCAGCAGTACAAGGAGTCAAGGACATGGCGGCGACGGCAGGCGGCACAGAACCATACCTTGCCCGAAGCGACCGTCGAGCAGCGGCAACGCAACGGCGGGCGTGGAGGGCTCCCCAGGCGGCGTGGCGGATCCAAACGGCGCGGATGAAGACGGCGTGGCAGATCCAGACGGCGTGGGATCCCGACGACGGATCTAGAGGGCTACCCCGGTCCCCGGTGGCGGATCCAGAAGGCGTGGCGGTGAATCTAGAGGGCTCCCTCGACAGCGGATCCGAGGAGCCACGTCGACCATGGGGGGCACCGACAACGAATCTGAAGATTGCACCGGCGGGCAGCGGATCTAGATGGCGCGGGCTTGGTTGGGCTCAACGGCGGGCCCTGTATGGGCTCGTTGTTGGACTGGCCTTTTTTATTATTTTAAAATTTGACTTACGAGGCGGACCAGCGTGCCACCGGGGTTAATACCCATTTACCAGACCTTTGCACCGAGGCGGTCCGAATGCCCGTCTAAGTAAACGGATTTTGCCCGCCTAGAATAAAACTAAAACCACAATGCACTTGAGGTCCTGCAATCGATTTTACTCACGGGCCTCTGCGATGTCAACGAAAACGATGGCTGCGCTGCCGGACATCCATGGCGGCCGCACGTCAACGAGGACGACGACGGAGCCTGTCATCGGCGGCGGCGGTGGTGTGCACGAGGTCTCGCACGGCGGCGGCGCGTGTGATGTCCGGGCCGACCACCGCCTCAACCGTGGCACGGCGCGTGCACTCACAGATCGATCCGGACATCGTCCACGGTGAGCACCAGATGGGATCTGCGTGAACGAGGGAGGGAGGAGTACCCAGCGAAAGTCGTTGTGGAGAAGAATCTTCCCGCGCGCCGCACCAGACCCGCGTCCCGGCGACGAGCCTGTACAATGCGGCGAGCACGAGCCATCCTCGTCGCTCACGAGATCGAACTCAGCCCGCTCCCACCTCACGAGGGGTCTTTTTGCAAAAAAAATCGGCACGCAGACAGACAAAAAGATACGCTCTACACCCTTAGAAAGAGAGAGAAATAGTTTCAAAAAAAAGAAAGAGAGAGAGAGGGACTTCATTTCCCTCTCGTATTCTTCTTGTCATCTTTCTATCCATGTCTATGAATTGTGTCCTGCAAAAATCTATGCATTTAACCATGCTCTTCAAAAATGTATTCACTTGCTACTCACTTCTATGTTCACATGAAACTTGCAAATATTTGATACCACCAGTTAAATTTTATTTGGCTTAGAAAGATATAGGGACTTGCTTTCCCTCTCATATTCTTGTCCTCTTTCTGTTCACATCTCTAAATTGTGTCTTGCAAAACTCTGTGCACTTAACCATGCCCTTCAAGAATTTATCGACTCCGCCAACTGGTATAGGACTAAGCAGACAGAGCTGAGGGATGGGCAAGACTTCAAGGTGTTCGTGAGTTGAAGGTAAAGTATGAGGAAGGTGACAGGTAAATGTTTGCAAGCAATTAGACTCATCATTCATTTATGGCCAAAACTGCATGGGTAGTTTATTATTGAAGCTAGCCTTCTTCGTTTACTGTGAAGATAACAATAGAAATAGGAGCAATTACCTTTTTGTATGGTACTAATTTAGGAAGCTGATTGGTTCATCACTGGGATTAACTGCTTAAGGGCCTGATCTTTTACAATGTCATATGCAGGCCTGCTTGTGACATTGCGCTCTCTGGGCTTAGTTGGATCTCTGTGGAGCCATCAGGCGTGCCATCAAACAACCCTGATTATGACAATGAATATGACGGCATTAAAGATGCTGCTCTAGTTTGCTACCGATTTCTCTAGCTGTGGTGAAGTTTGTGTAGTCCAGATTTAGCACAAAAGTTATATGCTATGAGTCTATGACTATGAGATGATGTTGGCAGGACTAGTGTTGGTCATAAAAAAAACAGAGGCGCTAGTATATGCTATGAGTCTATGACTATGAGATGATGTTGGCAGGACTAGTGTTGGTCATAGAAAAAACAGAGGCACTAGCGCCCGGATGTCCGGCGCCTACAATGCGTCCGGACGCAGCTCACAGTCCCAGCCAATTGAACCGTGGCCCCGTTCCCAGCCTAGGGCCACCAATGGGAGCATCCCATCTTAGCATCTCCGCGTAATGGAAGGGGAGTGCGTGCGCTCGCGTCCGCGCCGCCATCCCCCGGCACGCCCCCTCCACAGTCTTAGAAGGATGCAAGGCAGCAGAAGGCAAGGAGAAGACACCAAGGCGAGACAGCAGAAGGTGAGGAGGGAGATGCAACACCCGATCTACTTTTGAAACATCCAGATGCAATACTTGCAACATACAAAAGAAGACAGATGAAACACTTGAAACATGTGTCTGGAACACTTGCAAAAACATGTGAAAAAACACTTAAAACTATTGCAAACATACGCAACATCCAGATAAAGCACTTGCAACATACGTGTGAATTGCAACATCCAGATAAATAGACTTGCAACATACATCTGAAAAACAGATGAAACATTGGGAACAGACGCTTGCAACATACTGTACAAGCCATTGCAACATACCAATATACTTTTGCAATATCCGTATGAAACACTTACAACATGTAACACCTCTGGTGTTACGAGCTCGCTTAGCACTGAGGTTATGGCTTGAGAGATAGATCTATAAATATAGTTAGTTACGTAAATGCCTATGTGTGTTAATGAACAATCCTAACGTGAAGAGTAGAATGAGTAATTCTAAACATTGGCACGGAAGCAATTTTTATAAACAAAATAAAATATAACTTGTATTTAGTACTTGAATAAAATTTGGAGCGCAAGTTTAATAGATGAAAATGCAACTCTTATTCTGGTGAATAAAAGTTGTTCAATAGTATATCTGATAGTTCAGAAATCGGATCCGACATTTAAACTAGACCTTTCGTGAATCGGCAGGAAGTTGAAATTATAGTTAGGATGCTATTTTTTGATTATTTATATTAAGCAAAATAATTAAGAGGCATTCAAATGTTTTGCTCCTGTAGGTTAGTATGGAGTATGGGATATGTCATGATGTGTTTGTTAGTTGAAATCGTCGAGGTTTAGACCTTGCAATAATTACGGCAAAGTGCTTAGGAATGTTAGTTCTAACTGAAACCTTGAATTCTTTTAAGTATGAAATGATAGTAGACAATGCCATTTTGGCAATTAATTTCTAAAAATTTAGTTAAACACTAGTGCCATGTCTTTATTTAGTGATTTGCACCAAAGGGAGTACTTTGTGATGATGTGATGGTTAGTGTTGTTAGAGCTTGGTTTAGCTATTAAAAAAATGTGTCTAAGTACCTAAAATGTGCTAGGTTTGGCAGTTGAGCCCTTGGGCGTGGTCACCGCGCCCATGTCGTCGCGTGGACCGCGCAGCGCGCTGGTCGACTGCGGCCGTCCGCGCATTGACCTGTCCTGGCCTAGCTGCGGTCTAGCGGGTCGTGTGCTGCTATCGCGCTCGGCTACGCCACTGACCGGCCTCGCCCCACCCTGTTGCACATGATCACAGCCGTTTGTCTGACCTACCCCTCCTTCTAGCTCCTATGTCTGGCTTAAGAACAAGGTGAGCCGCGCACGGCTCCTTGCTCGCTCTCGCACTCCTCTGCCCAGCTTCCCTCTCTGCCTCCCCTCGCGTTCTCCCTTGCTCTGCTGCCTCATGCCCTCACCATCGTTCGTCTCTCTCTCTGGCTACTGCTCGACGTGGCATTTTCTCAGCCGTTCATCCCACCTACTCGAGCTGCTGCTATCGCGTACTGCCTTCGCCCCTGCTCTCTCTCTCTCTCTCTCTCTCTCTTTCTCGCTCTGCTCCTATCCATGTCCTTGCCACAATGCCTGTCTGTTGTCTCGTGCACCATTAAGCCAAGGCCGAGCTACTGCTA